GCAGGATGCAGTCCATCAATGAATCTCGGGTCCCTCGAGCTTTGAAATCATATAAAACAGGTTTTTAAAAGTACGAAAGCAAAAGTACTAGTTTCTAGCAGTACTCAGGCATGTCACAAGCTCAACATGAGCCTTACGAGACATGTGATAGCGAGCGGTTCCTGGGAGAAATGGGTTGCATGAGATGATCATGGATCACGAAGCCACTAAGGGAATTATACACAGAGGTTTCCAACAGCAGAAGAATTAGATTACCCGGGAATCTTTTTAAAGCCTTTTTCGGCTCATCCTCTGGAAATTCTGTTTCTTTGTTATGGGGTGGGGCCACAACATTAGTAACAAAGAAACAGAATTTCCGGAGGATGAGGGCCAGAAATCAGGATTTTAAAAAGATTCCCAGGTGATTCTAATGTGCAGCCAAGGTTGAGAACCACTGGTGTAAACTATGAACTAAAATATGATGTGGGTACCACAAATTTTACCCATTTAAAGCTTAATGTGCCATTGCCTACAGCTTAGCAAAAATAATAAACACCTGTCCAAATTTACCTCTAAATTCTGGCAGAGTCCCTGAAGCCGCCTGAGGCAACGTTGCATTTCCCCAGTTAAATCCTTTAGGGTCCTGCTATGCAGGTCAGGATGGGTTTAGGATTTAAATGCCTGTCATGGGAGGTTTGGGGTCAAAGCCATGCCCATGCTTCAGAGCTCCATCCAGTCTTCCGCCCTCGCCACAACAAACTAGGGGCACACTTACCTTTCCAAAGGACTCGAGATCTCAGGGACGCTCTGGTGGAACCCAGTCTCCCAGGCAGGTTCCTCGCAGAGTCAGAGATTACAGTGACTTCCCACCTGCCTAACACACCTTACCCACGTCTCCGCCCCGCTACGTTTAGCCCAACCCCAGTCCCGCCTCTGCCTGGGACAACACACCCCACGCTAAGCAAAGGTGCCAATGCAATTTGATGGGGAAGGAACAATCTTTCCAAAAAACGCTGTGGGACAACTGGATATCCACATGTAAATGAATGAAGTTGGTGTAGCCGGTCAAGTGGAATGAGAAGTTAACTAAAAGAGGAACGTTCTGCCAAGAACAGACCGGCCACGTCAGAACAAAGTGTTGCACGCAGCAAGATTTATTGTTCAGAGGCAGAATTTCTTTGAGGTGATAAATAGTCGGGCCACGTCAGAACAAAGTGTTGCACACAAGATTTATTGTTCAGAGGCAGAATTTCCTTGAGGTGATAAATAGTCCATGAGGGCATGGAAAGAACAAGGGAGGGTACACAGCTGCTGGTTGAGAGGGTCTTTGAACAATACTGGAAATTAATAGTTTAATGTATAACTTAGCTCAGATGATCTCATAGGCATGCCTGTTTACCATTGTCACTTGCTGTACTCCATTGTCACTTGCTGTACTCCATTGTTACTTGCTGTACTCCCCAATAAAGGCCATGAGAACTCTGGAAGTTTTGCTACTTGCCTGAGCGAGCAGTAGTCCTCTGCTTCTCTAAACTCAATCCTGCTTGCCGAGCTCATCTCAGCGTCACCGTTCACCTGCAGACCACCTGCAGTGGGACACCTAACAACATACACAACAATTAACTCAAAATGATCATAGATCTAAATGTAAGAATTAAAAATATAAGGCTCGCAAGAGTAAACAGGAGTAAACATTCATGAACTTGGTTTCTTAGACATGACACCAAAAGCACAAGCAACGAAGGATAATATAGACACATTGGACTTAATCAAAATGTAATACTTTAGTGCTGCAAAAGATACCAATAAAAAGTGAAAAGGCAATCCACAGGATGGGAGGAAATATTTTCATATATGTCTGGTGAGTCTTACGCGTGAGTTTTTCTGTTCATGAACTGCTTTTGACACGTTTCTGTCTGGGAAGCATGACAGCAAAATGACGAATTTGGGGCCTCCGCGGTGAAGCCCGGCGCGGTCTGACCCAGCACAGCCCCTCTGCACCGCGAGGCGGGGCGGGGCGTCCGCAGGCAACCAGACCCCAGGCGACCACCTGACGCTACTCACCCACAGGCCGCACAGCCCCGGCAAGGACGTGCGCGCGCACGGCGGACGCACGCACGGCGGCACGCGCACGCGTTTGCACGCGAGGGCAGTCGCTGCGCGGGAGCCGGGGTGTTCGAGGAGAGGAGGTACGAGCGATCCGGCTCGGAGAGCGGGGTCCAGGCGGGATCCGGGAATCCGGGCTGGGGGTGCAGGTCGGGAGCCGGGGTCGGGGGAGGAACGGGGGTAGTGGGGTCCTGGGTGGGAGCGGGGGCCCGGGCTGGGGGCGGGGGGCGGGGGGCGGGCCCGGGAGGAGGGGAGCGGTGGTCGGTGGGCAGCTCCCCCGCCAGCGCCGCGTGCTGTGACTGAGCCGGAAGCAGCTCGTCCACCGAGTCCCTCTCCCGCAGAGGCCGCTAGAGTCGCCAACATGTCGTACATGCTCCCGCACTTGCACAACGGCTGGCAGGTGGACCAGGCCATCCTTTCGGAAGAAGACCGGGTGGTCGTCATCCGGTTCGGGCACGATTGGGACCCTACGTGCATGAAAATGGACGAGGTTCTGTACAGCATCGCGGAGAAGGTACCGCATGCGCTGCAGTCGGCTCGGTGTCTGCTTTCTTTTGCTTTGCCAGTTGACAGGAAAATTTAAAAGTGAGGTTAAAAGCTGGCTTCCACACTCATTGTTCATGCCCTAAAGTTTAATGCGCCAGCAAATAAAGAGAAGATGTAGGATTGACCTGGTGATGTGAGGACGAGCTCCCTGAAATTGTACACAATAGGTTATGCCTTTTTCTTCTGGGAGAAGTTGCCATACGTTACAGAAAAGTTAATGGTCCCTCTCCTTAGATAAATCACTTAATAATTCCTAGTGATAGGGTGTTTTTTCAAGATTTGCATCTATGGTAGTAAGAACACAATATTTTTGCATACTTTGGCAAGTGTTGGAGCTCCTTTTAAATAGCTTAGCTTAAAAGGATTGTCCTTTTTTTGGTATCATGTTTATTTGTTGTATTTATAAAGCCGAACATGTATGTTAATAGCATAGTAGCTCTTCTTGTCGTTTTTTGTTTTGTTTTATAACAGATGATTTAAATGCAGGGGCTTGTTTGCTGACAGTAAGTAAGGGTGCAGTTGTAGGGTGTTTCTGTGTAACCAGAGCATTAATTCTTTTTAAAATTCCTCACTTTAAGAGAACTTTTAATTTGGATTTTTCCAATTCTAACAGTAGGACAAAAGGCACATATATTAGGGTGTTAATGAAATTATTAACTTACTACTGTTTGATGAGTGATTTGAAAGGTCATTTGAAGAGTAAAAGTGGAAACACTGAAACCATCTTTTCTTTCTTCCTTTTTCCCCCCAAATATATTTTACTGGTTTTTTACAGAGAGAAAGGGAGTGGGATAGAGAGTTAGAAACATTGATCAGCTGCCTCCTGCACACCCCCTACTGGGGATGTGCCTGAAGCTAAGGTACATGCCCTTGACCAGAATCGAACCTGGGATCCTTCAGTCCGCAGGCTGACGCTCTATCCACTGAGCCAATCCTGTTAGGGCCCATCTTTTCTTTCATGGGAATAGGAGATGGTAATATTGGCTGGGTTAAAATAACACCTGTGAGTAAATAATAACAGAGTATATATTTAGTACTTAGGAAAGAAAAGCTGATTTTTACTACCTCCTATTTGGAAGGAGAGGCAGAGTGATGTAGGGGTCATGACATTGTGGACCTTAGGGACTGTTCTTCCATATCTGTCATCATAAGTACCACTTGGCATACTTACCAAGTGCATCGCAGAGATTCTGATTGTATGGGTCTGGGTGAGGTTCAGAAACGGCTTCTTTGAGAAGCTGCTCTGGGAATTGTGGTGTGACTTTCAGAAACCTCTCAACAGAGGTCTGGGTCCAAGCATGAGTGCTGTACTTGTCAGACATGCCCAGGACCCTGAGGAGCTTGGGGAGGTAGGTGACTGGGAACCCAGGAGAGAGAGCCTTGAATGAGGTGGTGCCAGGGAATCATTTATTCATTGTTTAAGCTACTGTATAGTGGTCAAGGGCAGATACTGCTGAATTCAGTGAAGACTTTACCAAGCACCTTTCCGATAAGCAAATCACTAGCATGTTGACTTTGAAATAACCTAGGGTGTGTGTTCTGGATTCTACCTTGCAGGTGGTGGCATAATCACCAGGTGATGTCCAGATCTGCTGCCCTCAGCGCCAGGCTAGGATGGCTAGAGACGTAAGGGTTGGTTGGCTCTTCATGTCTGAGCAAAATTTGGCAAGATGCTCTTAGCTAGGAGACATATTTTATGTGTTAACGTAAGTTTTTAGGGACTTTTACCAGAGTGGTTCTTTTCTAATGCCTTTATGTCAGAGACCAAATTGCTGTGTCACTAGTGGACATACTCTTCTTGTATTGAACCTGTTAATAAGGGCAGTTTAATTAGGCTCACTTTGACTATTTTCCTTTAGTCTTTTTAGTTACCCTTTTTTCTTTTGTCCAAAAATGTGAATTTTTATTTTAATAAACTTTCAATATTGTATTATAATATAGCTATTCAAAATGCAAACTTGAAATGCATTATAAGACTTTTAACATTTTGCTTTCTTCTGAGTATAAGGGCAAAATATGAGTTTATAAATCTGGAAGTTCTTTTGGGGAAGCTCAACAGAAATTTTTGAGATTGAAGGTTTTAGTATAAAGAACAACTTAACTCTATTTAAAAATCTCCCTCTGCAGAAATGGCAGATAATGGGGGATCTTCCTCATCTTGTTACGAGCCCTGTTTGGATATCCCAGCTGTTTTAAAGTGAGTAAAAGTTCCTGGGTTGAGGCTGGAATGTGGTGTATTGACTTGATGCTCTGACAGTGCCAACCCCTCTTCCTGCTGGGTTAGTTTTGAGCTATACTGAAACAGAGATATGCTTACCGATTTTACAGCTGTCTGGAATTTGGCAGAGTGGTAATAACAAAGTTTCCTGTTTAGCAGCTGATTTTATGCACAGCTTTGAAGAGAGACTGTTTTGTGTCCCTCTGAGCTGTCTGCCATTCTGTAGGAACAGTTTGTCACAGCTCAGTTTCCTAAATTCCACGATGGTTAAGAATAAGTGGGACATTTAATTTTTGTGTTTAAAAGCCCATACAAGTAGAGTTTAAAATATGTAGAACCTCAGTGATATTGACTGGTGCTCATACATTCTAGATGAAATTATATGTAAGGCAAATAGATTGATGAAACTTTTTAGGAATGACTGGGGGTCTTTCTGAAGCATCACATAAAGTAAGTGAACCAGTGGAAGTTGGTGCTCAGTCTGAGAAATCGATAGGAACCAGCAGAAGGCATGTTTTTGTATTCACTCTGGATTTGTGTCTCTGCATATAATTCACCTTGCAGCAAGCAGCTATGAGAGGCAAGATTGAGCAGTGGTTATGGGCCCAGACTGAGCTGGATTCTGCCACTTACTGCCTGCATGACATTAAATAACTCATCTGTAAGAAAGGGATACCAGTGCTGGACTCATAGGTGGTTGTGAGGGCAGAGTTAATATCAAGTAGTATATTCAGTGATCATTAGCTACCATTATTATTACTATCTCACATCACAAAATTTGCAACAGTTACTGTAAATAGAGCTAATCAGGGCACATAGTTTTTTGATTGATTGATTGATTTATATATATATATATATATATATATATATATATATATATATATATTGATTTCAGAGAGGAAGGGAGATAGAGAGAGAGATAGAAACATCAGTGATTGAGAGAGGAAGTCATTGATCGGCTGTCTCCTGCATGCCTCCAACTGGGGATGGAGCCTGCAACCTGGGCAAATGTCCTGACTGGGAATCCTATGAACCATGAAATCCTGGTTCATAGGTCGATGCTCAACAACTGAGCAGCACCAGCCAGGCAGGGCACATAGTTTTAGAAAATAAAGTTACCATGTAATCTTTTGATGGATTGAAATGAATTAAGTAGCAGTGTAATAATTAGCCAGTTGACAGCCCAGAACATTTTTCTGGTGTATTAGATAGGTTCTCAACTGAGGGAGGAGCACCATAAAAAGGGCCAAGTGGTGATTGATCACTGACTTGCTGAAGAAAAAGAAGGTGTGCTCATAAAAATGTGTGGGCAACAGAGATGGAAAGGATATTTACTATTGTAGATGACCAAAAGAATATGTATTTCAAAAATAACTTGATAATAGAAATGAATTTGTACATATGATTCTTGGTTTAAAAAAATACTATTTAACAACCAGTTAGATTACTAATAGTTGGCAAAATGTATTTTAAATATGGCCAATACGTTTACAGTACTGTTTAAAAAGATGGTGCTTGTGAGTGAATGGGAAAAGAACTTGAAAAAATAAGAAATTCAGTGGTTAAGTAAACGTCAAAGAAACACACCTTAAAATAGTTCACTGTCGTTTTTTAGGTATATCAGAGACAAAAAGTTAAAAAGGAGTTGAAGTGTGGGGTGTGCTGGACGTTGTGATGTCCAGGTGGTAGAGCTGGCATCACCCTGAGGAACATGGCTGGCATTGTGTGAAGAGCCTGATGAACGAATGTCAGATGGTCCTGCCATTCTTAGTAACTGACCCTTCAGGAGACCATTGCTGTCATTTATAGCAAAAGTGGAATCAACCACAGTGTCCAGTGATAGGGGAACACTTAGGCCAGGCACAGTGCCAGGTAGGAAACTGACCCTCATGTGGTCCTCATGACAGCTCCTGAACAGGTGCTAGCAGTTATCTGTCCGGACTTGGAAATTGGGATTTAAACTGGAACATCCACAAGCTGTGAGTTGAGAAAGGGAAACATTTACTTTCACTTTAAAACACTAATAGATTTATTATGAATGTCATGTTTTTTAAATTATATAACTTGTTTGAAAATTACTGGGGCTGGATACAAAAGAGTGATTTTTCCATTTCATTTCTATATTTTCCAAGTGAACATTTTTTAAATGGAGAAAAGATAGACACCTCGCTTAATTTCAGTTGTATATTAAAAAAATACACAGGGGTTTTAGTTACCTGCAGATTCATTACTGGATGTGACCTGTTTAGGCCAGCGGTTGCCAACCGGTGGTCTGTGGACTACTGAAGGTTGGCGACCGCTGGTTTAGGCGACATAGTTCTCTATGTGGAAGGCATCGCAGTACAAGAACCCAAATCCATGTGAGGAGAAGTTTGTCAGGTGGGAGCTTTTCCAGAGGAAAACCTGGGAGGATTCAGAGTGAGGGGCAGCATGCTCACATAGCCGCCCCGCTGGATGTGTCATGGCCCCTTCCTGCCAGTAGTGGGAGAACCTTCTGTCAGGACCCCACCTCTGAGGAAGGGGGTTAGACCTGACACCTCCTAAGGCAGGTTTGAACTCAGGATTATAGAGTTAAGTCCATACTGTCCAAAACCATGGTTCTTAGTGACAATAATGGGTTTCTTGAGTTTTGAAATATAAGTTTATTGTTAAAGTTCATTCATTCAATGAATATTTACTTGTGCCTTGAATGTGTCAGATGTTTGGCTCCGAGGACACATCAGTAAAGACTACAGACGTGGTTCCTTGCCTCATGTGGCTTGGGATTCATCTGAAAAATCCTAATGTGATTTTAGCCTGACTGGCATGGCTCAGTGGTTGACATTGACCTATGAAGCAGGAGGTCACGGTTCAATTCTGGTAAGGGTGCATGCCTGGGTTGCGGGCCGATGCCCAGTGTGGGGAGTGCAGGAGGCAGCCAATCAATGATTCTCTCTCTTCCAAGGGAGAGGGGAAGAGAGAGAGAGAGAAACATGGATGTGAGAAACATTGACTGACTGCCTCCTGCATGCCCCCTACTGGGGGTGAAGCCCCAAACTGGGTATGTGCCCTGACCAGGAATCAAACCGGTAACCTTTTGGTGCCTGGGACAGTGCTCAACTAACTGAGCCACACCAGCCAGGACTTGCATTATTATTGTTTTACTAGAGCAGTGGTTCTCAACCTTCCTAATGCCGCGACCCTTTAATACAGTTCCTCATGTTGTGGTGACCCCCAATTTCATTGTTACAAATTGAACATAATTAAAGCATAGTGATTAATCACAAAAACAATATGTAATTATATATGTGTTTTTCGATGGTCTTAGGCGACCCCTGTGACAGGGCCGTTTGACCCCCAAAGGGGTTGCAACCCACAGGTTGAGAACCGCTGTACTAGAGGCTTGATGCACGAAATTTGTGCAAGGGCCTTGGCCCCAGCTCCCGGCTGCTGCTGCCATGCCCGCTGCGCCTTTGTCCAGAAGGAAGAACTTCCGTCTAATTAGCATATTACCCTTTTATTATTATAGATTTATTTGTATTACAACTATAAACCTGCTTTTGCCCACCCCTGTATTTATAAGGAGCCTTTAAAATGTCATGTTCTATGTTCTAGAAATTCTATTTTAGGAATTTAGCCTTAGAAAATAATGAATGTGTGCATAAATTTAAGGATTAGAATGTTCACAGGGGAATAATTGATATTAATGAAAATGAATTATTTATAGTCACGAAAAATCAGAAAGAAACAGAAGAAAGGTAAAGTAATGGCATAGACATTTGATGAACTAATTATTTAATACTAGAGGCCCAGTGCATGACATTTGTGCACGGGGCGGGGGGGTCCCTCAGCCCGGCCTGCGCCCTTTCACAGTCCTGGAGCCTTTGGGGGGGAAGTCCTACTGATGGCTTAGTGCTGCTTTGGAGGTGGGCCACTGTACTCGCCAGCCGTCAGCCGGTTTGTGGCTGAGAGGCATTCCCCCTGTGGGAGTGCACTGACCACCAGCGGGCAGCTCCTGTGTTGAGTGTCTTCCCATGGTGGTCAGTGTGCATCATAATGACAGGTGGTTCTGCTGTTCATTCGATTTGCATATTACACTTTTATTATATAGGATAGCCATAAAAGTTGTGTTTTTATAAAGTATATGAGAATTCTTGTAATTAAAGCAATGTAGTAATATATATATATATATATCAGGAGCCCTGGCTGCATGACTCAGTTGGAGGAAAAATGGGAAAGAACGTACTAAAAATACTTTTGCAGTAATTAAGTTTTTGTTGAGATTGAAGGTGATTTTATTTTTAGTTCTTTGGGTTTTCTAAATCTCTGATGAATGTGCATTTAAAGAAAATTTGTTATATACGATATTATTTGGAGTAGTAGTTTGTTACTATTTACAAGAGTTCAAACCCAAGTACATGGGGAATATATGGCTTGTTGGAAAGCAGTTGTTCAATGTATGTGATTAAGTATTAGTAAAAGTATACATTTGGAAAAGATCATATAGATTATTGCTAGATCAGCATGAATAATATGTCTGTGGATATTTTGTGAAGGTTCTTGTAACTTGCTATTCTAAAAAAATGTTAAAGGGAGTTGTAAATAGCCAATTATTTGCTCGGTATCCTCAGCTTGTTGAATTATTTTTCTGTGTTAACTCTACTGGGAAAATGTTGGAGAGCTTGAAAATTGTTCTGTTATATACAGATGATTGTTTTCGTTTTAAATGTGCTTTTACAAAATTTAAAAAATCGATTTTTATTTTAGGTGTTTTTTTTTTAATATTCTTTACTTTTAGGTTAAAAATTTTGCAGTTATTTATCTTGTGGATATTACAGAAGTACCTGATTTCAACAAAATGTATGAGTTATACGATCCATGTACTGTCATGTTTTTCTTCAGGTACGTCCTCTTCTCTCAAACTTGTTGTTTAAATTGTCCTCTTTATATTTTTATTGATTTCAGAGTGGAAGGGAGAAAGAAATAGAAACATCAGTGATGCGAGAGAATCATTGATTGGCTGCCTCCTGCACATCCCCCCACTGGGGGTTGAGCCCACAGCCCCAGGCATGTGCCCTGACTGGGAATTGAACCAGTGACCTCTATGTTTCCTGGGTCGATGCTCAACCACTGAGCCATGCTGGCTGGGCTCCTTTTCTCTTAAAGTTGTTTAAATTGAAATTGTTGGTTTGGATATTTAATGTAATCAAGATGCCTTTAGATTCTCTTACTTGGAAGGAAGTCATTATGTAGTCATATCACATACAGATTGTATCACCAGGCAATTAATGTGATCTTTTCAATAATTTTTAAACAATTTTAGTTTTATCATTTACTCAGTGATAAATTACCCTTTTGAAGTAACTTTGCCCAGAAACCTAGATGAAGTGTAATTAAAGGAAAGACATTCTTATTAACTTTAAGGTACCTTTAAATAATCTGTTGATGAAAAATGTCTGTTTTAAAATAACTCTATGTCTATTTTAAAATATGATACCATGACACTATTTAATGTTCTTTGTGATACCTAAGAGGAAAAACCTGTTCTTAATTTATTTGCTTATAAACACAAGATCATTTTATCAGCTAAAACATTCTGTGTGGACCCTAGTCAATGAATTATTGGCATGAAGAATAGAATTTCCCTAATTGCCTCAGACAAATTTGTATCCACAATGTATGGGCTTTGCTTCAAAGGAAAATGCAGGAATGTACTGGCTGCATACCCAGGGGTCTGATGCAGGTGCCACATATGTTTGATGGGATTTATGTAATCAAGTTAAGTAACATTGTGAGTACAAAAATAACTCTGTTCTGGAAGGTTAATTAGGAAAGAAATAACCCTTTAATATTGCTATACTTGCCAAAATTTCATAGTTATTGTTACTACAAAAGTTGGCGGATAGCAGTATTAATGTTCACTTCACAAATAGAGCCCCTGTTGGTGAGGATGGTCCAGGTGGACGGTGTAGGGTGTGTATTAGCTTCATATTCTGTGGAACAAGTTAGCACAAGTTTTGTGGCAGAAAGCACCATTTGTGAGCTCAGGGTTCTCCAGGTCCTAGTCCGGGCAGGTTCTGCAGGTTTCCTTGGAGTCTCTCAAAGGCAGTCAGTCGGGGAAGAAGCCATATGGCTCACCTAGGTAGTTGGCTGAATCCCGTTTTGTGGTCGTGAGTCTGAGACCTCTACTCGCTGGCTGTGGCTAGGGCTCCATCTGCTTCTAGACAGGCAACTTACTAGTAGTGCATTCTGGGCAGTGGAAACATGGGGGGCTCAGACAGACATGGCAGCTGCCCTGCTGGTTGCCACATGTCAGAGTCAAGTCTGAGCCGAGTAACCAAAGCTGTAACAGGGGGAAACAGACATTTTTCATGGGGTCCCTTATAGAGGCTTAAAAAAAAAAATTAGTGATTTTTAGAGAGAGAATGGGGGAGAGATCAAGCGAGAAAAACATTGATTTGTTGTTTCACTTATTCATGCATGTGCGCTGACTGGGTATCAAACCTGCAACCTTGGCATACTGGGACAACTCTCTAACCTACTGAGCTACCCAACCAGGGCCCATCTAGACGCTCTGATAAGCCTTGCCTGTTTCCTCTGCAGGAACAAGCACATCATGATTGATCTGGGCACTGGCAACAACAACAAGATCAACTGGGCCATGGAGGACAAGCAGGAGATGATCGATATCATTGAGACCGTGTACCGGGGTGCCCGCAAAGGCCGTGGCCTGGTCGTGTCCCCGAAGGACTACTCTACGAAGTACCGATACTGAGTGCCTGTTCCCAGGCGCGGGGGTTTGCCCAGGGAGTCACTTTCACGTGGAGACACTGTGGACTCTGAAGCCTTTGAGGAGGAGTCTTGGGAGGGACAGGAGGGCTGCACAGCCTCAAGCTGGAGTTGGCCTGGCTACTGTACTTTTATATTCGCAAATATCTGTAAATATCTAGCTGAACTAAACAAATACACAATCATGGGAAAGTCCTGATGGTTTATTTTTTATATGGATTACTAGTTTTGGAAGTAAAAACTTGATTCTTTACCATTGGAGTGAAGTTCAGGGGGTCTGTGGGCTGCTCTGTTTTTGTTTTTGTTTTTTGTAATACGTTTTTTCAGAGATTTTCAGAGAGAGGAAGGGAGAGGAAGAGAGAAACATCAATGATGAGAGAGAGTCATTGATCAGCTGCCTCTTGCATGCCGATCTGGGGATCGAATCCATAACTTGGGCACATGCCCTGACTGGGAATCAAACTGTGACCTCCTGGTTCATGGGTTGATGCTCAACCATTGAGCCACACTGGCCAGGCTGGGCTGCCCTGTTTTGCACACTTGGCAGTGGAAGCTATGTGTGTCCCGGGGCTGCTGGAACAGAGGACCACAGCCCAGGCACTTAGCAGAAATGTGTGTCTCACCGGTCTGGAGACGGGACATTTGGGGACCCAGGTGCCTCTTCCCTAACCCTGTCCCCACCCACCCCGACCTGAGCCTTCATATTCTCCAGGCCTTTTCCCTGAGTTGTGTCTGTGTCCAGGTGTCCCCTTTTTATAAGGACACCAGTCATTGGCTCAGAGCTGCTCAACTCCAGCATGACTTCATCTTAACTGATTACATCTACAACAGTCCTATCTCCACATAAGGTCATTCTGAGGCCCTGAGGGGAGAAGGGGCACAATTCAACCCACAACAGAATCTAATAGCTTAAGTTCAGAAGGAATACACACTGCAAGAATAAAGTGCAATAAAATAATTTGGCTCCGTGGTTGGAGTGTCAGCCCACAGAACAAAGGGTTGAGGGTTTGATTCCTGGTCAAGGGCACGTACCTCAGTTGCAGGTTTGATCCCCAGCCCTGGTTGGAGTGTGTATGGGAGGTAACCAATCAATGTTTCTCTCTCTCTCTCTCTCTCTCTCTCTCTCTCTCTCTCTCTCCCTCTCTCTCCCCCCCCCCTCCCTCCCTCCCCTCCCTTCCAACTCTATCTAAAAATCAATGGGGAAAAAGTATTCTTGGGTGAGGATTAAAAAGGAAGCTTTTTGTTCCTTCTGATATTACATCTAATGTACTTTAAACATACTGTATTCTCTGGAGTCTATGATCCATGACCCTTCAATCAGTCTTATTCTCAAGCTTCTCTTCTAATTCTATCCCAGAAGCATGCTGGTTGGTGGTTGGGATCATCCAAGCATGTGTTAGGAGCACTGGTGCGTGTGTGGGGAGCACACCTGGAGCACCCCCCCCCCCCAAGGATATTTTTCCATTGATTTTTAGAGAGAGGGAAAGACATCGATTGGTTGCCTTCTGCACAAGCCCCAACGAGGGCCTAGGCCAGGGAGGAGCCTGCAACCGGGGTACATGATCTTGACGGAAATCGAACCCGGGACCTTTCAGTCCAGGACCTCTCAGTCCTCAGAGCGATGCTCTATCGACTGAGCCAAACTGGCTAGGGCCAACTGTAGTTGATTTTGACTTTTAAATGAAGACTATGATTTATTTTATATGCAGGAATAATGTTATTTTTTACAATAGAGCCTACAACTGACCCCTTTTGGGGGGTGATCATGTTTATTTTACTCTGGCTCAGAAAAAAGGGAATTGGATAATTATTTGAAAGCATTTCTCCATAACCTACAAAGATCTAATTGCTAACTGCCTCCAGTGAGGTGAGAGGTGAGGATTACCTCGGGAGTCAGCAGCACTTCTGGCTCACCTGCCTTCTTGGTTTAAATTAGTTTGGTTTGGAGAGTGTTGCTATCAGAGCCTGTCTGGACTAGACAGATTAAAATTAGTCTTCCATAAACACTGACTGGAAATGTTCACTTGATACCATTGTAATAACCTGGTTATTACTTAATAGGAAAGGAGTAAAGGGAAGACTAGATAATAGAGGCATGCCATTTACACAGCTTTGCTAATTTAACACTCTCCAAGTCTGTTCCCCACCGATTGATGGGGGAAGGAAATGGACAAAGGCAGTTTACACGCATGCCCAGTAAAGTCTGAGTGACTTGGGAAGGTGTCTGTCAGTCACACCTGAGAACAAATTAGTGGCCTGAATAGGTGTGGCCACTACAAGGGCATGAAACCTGAATATTTAAACTTCTGAACAAAAGAAGTTCCCTCTCTTGGATCTGAAGCTTGGGACACTGGCCTTGCTCTTGGTTTTGCTGAACTCCCAGCTGTACCTTTTTCAGAATTAGGTTAAGGGACATGAGACTTTACAACACAAGGAATGTAACTCCAAACACAGCTTTTTACCACATCTCATTCTCCTATGGGGGCTTCTGAAAATGCTATTTCAGCGGTACCCCAAGAATCTCATGCCCACTAGAGTCTGGGAAATCTGGCCCACTGATTTTCTGGTAACAAAGTGATGCAGCCATTTAAAAAGCAACTTCTGCTCAGCTGGTCTGCTCAGTGGTTGAGCGTCAACCCATGCACCAAAGAGATCACTGGTTCGATTCCTGGTCAGGGCATGTGCCCAGGTTGCAGGCTCAATCCCCAGTGGGTGGCATGCAGGAGGCAGCCAGTCGATGTTGATGGTTCTCTCTTGGCAATGTTTCTATCTCTCCCTGTCTCTTTCTCTCTCTCTAAAAAAAAAAAATCAATTAAAAAACATATATAGAAAACAACTTATACCAGAAAACTGCTTATGATCTTTAAAAAAAAAAAAAGATCTATATAGAATTTAATTCAGAAAAAAATTTGAATCACAGCTCACGCTTTTCTTGTGTGATTTACAAAATGGTGTGGATGGATGGAGACATATTCTGCCATTCAGCAAACATCTTTTTTTATTTTTATTTTATTGATGCTAAGTGAAAGAAGATGGATGTAGAAGTCCTTATACTGTCTGATTCCACTTATTGGAAACATCCAGAAAAGACGAATCTACAGAGATAGAAGGTAGATTAGTGGTTGGCCAGGGTGGGAAGAGGTACTGACTGCAAACAGATAGGTTTGGGGTGGGTGGGTGCTGGAAATGTTCTGATATTAGATTGTGGTGAGGTTGTACAACTTAGTAAATGTATTTAAAAATCAACGAATTATACACTTTAAAAAATAATGTTTTTATCGATTTTAGAGAGAGGAAGGGAGAGGGATAGAGAGAAGCACCGATGAGAGAGAATCAATGATCGGCTGCCTCCTTCATGCCTCCTCTTAGGGATCAAGCTCAGAAACCTGGGCATGTGCCCTGACTGGGAATAGAACTGTGATCTTCTGGTTCATGGGTCGATGCTCAACCACTGAGCCACGCGGGCCAGGCAGCAAACACCTTTTGTTGTGTCAGTTTTACCTTTGGAGTTACAGTCTTATCACATTGCCTGTGTTTTTTTTTTAATTTCTAATGTTACCCAAATGATTTTTTAACTATGAAAATCAGAACTCAAGTTATGTAGATTGTAACTCAAAAAGCACAGTTTTCATTTGATCACATTTTCAAGTGTAAGTGCAGGTGTAAGAAAAATGATTGGAAAGAGGTAAAGATTTACTTATATATGAATTAATATACAGTTAAAAAAAACTGGAATCTAAGCTTTCAATGAATGTACCTGTAATTACCAGAACATTTGTATAGGAAAAATTCAGTTTATAGAAAAACATAATGTTAAGTGACTTTCATTTTAGTCAGATGGAGTCAAGGTGGACTCACCATCAAGGTGAGTGAACAATGTGCTTCGCATCAATTAGCATCGACATTCCATCACCCGGGTCACAGGTGTCCAGAGAGCTCACTCCTGTCTGTGTTGAAGTAAACATGGGAAAAGTGTAACATTTACTGTGGAAAGGGACAAAGAGCCAGATCTTTTAGAATACAGAACAGTAGTTTTTAACATTTTGGGTCATGGACTCTCCTCCCAGTCACCACCCCACCCCCAACAGGAACTTAAGTTTAGGGCAGTGATGGTGAACCTATGACGCGTCAGGTGACACGCGAACTCATTTTTTTGGTTGATTTTTCATTTTAAATGGCATTTAAATATATAAAATATCAAAAATATAAATCTTTTACTATGATTGCAAATATCAAAAAATTTCTATATGTAACACGGCACCAGAGTTAAGTTAGGGTTTTTCAAAATGCTGACACGCCGAGCTCAAAAGGTTCGCCATCACTGGTTTAGGAGGTTTGTAGAATCCACTGAAACCCATGACACGAGGCCTGACCTTTTGCCACCAACAAGCACAGATTTAGCCAAGCAGATTACAACTTATTTAGGTCTTTCTTTTAATGTAAAAGGCATTAACAGTTTTGAACAAACATTTAGATTACTGGCCTTCTCTTGTGCTGCTTTAAATGATGACTATATGTGCATCAAAAAATGAAGTCTTGCCCTGGTCAGTGTGGCTCAGTTGGTTGGAACATTGTCCCATATACTGAAAGGTGGTGGGTTCAATTCCTAGTCAGGGTACATACCTAGGTTACAGGTTTGATCCCCGGCCCAGACACCTTTGGGAGGCAACTGACCAATGTTTCTCTCTCTCTCTCTCTCTCTCTCTCTCTCTCTCTCTCTCTCTCTAAAATCAACTTAAAAATATAAAAAAGAGTGAAGTCTTGATACTTAACCATTTAATTTGATGCTCATATTTAGTGGGTTTGACCAAATTTAAAACCCTGCTGGAGTGCAGGTGATGAAGGGAAGGGACAAAGTTCTCAAACATCCATCCTGTGCCTGGCAGTGTGCCAACTCAGGATCCTGCAGAAATTGGCCCACTGGTCCCTTCTTTCAGGCACTGGCTTATCACCAATTAGCCCTCAAATGTGGAGGGCTTAGCGTCCAGTAGGCCTAGACAGGACTGGGCAGGTGGCCCTGTCTGATGCAACCTTAGTAGGGAAAGGTGTATTTTCACCCTACAGGCAGAATTTCAGAGGAGTGCTCGTGAGCAGGACATGGTACAGCTATCTTTCTACTGGAATTCCAGATGTAGATACGATAAGTGAACTAGCTCTGATTTAGCAGGATAGCTACAGATAATTTGCCAGATGACTTAGGATGATAATTGTCAAAGAAATGGGAAAACAAGAAAAACAAAGGCATCTAATTATTAAAATATGCTCATATAGTCAGAATAGTATGTCAGTAGAACATGCATACATATCTTAATAAAGTTGTGCATCTCCACATACATCACATGGACATAAATTCAGTCTGAGATCTGAAGCTAAGCATTTATTTGCATCTCAAGATTCAGTGCAAAATTCCACTGGAAAAGAAATGTTTGCTTGGTGGGACTGGGTGGGATCCTCCAGACTCTGGCAATGGGTTGAGGGCTTAATGCAACATTTCTTCTTTAAATGGTTCCATGAATATGTGGTTTCAAACAGAAACTGGTAGTTATAATCTCCAATGTCTAAATCATCATGATTTGTGTTTTGATTAAAGATTAATCTGAGGGGTGAGGGCCAATAGGTACTTGAGTAAAATCCACTATTTATTATATTTAAAATTTTTAAGTTCCATTTTTAAATAATAAAGTGTTTCATTTAAAATGTACACTTTTAAAGGAAGTATGACAGAGTGTTTAAGTGGGTCTATTTAGAAAGGAGCGTTTGTGCAAGGCTTGTTCTTCCTGAAGGTTTCTCATGTAGTACAGAGGCAGTAATTCCCACAGTGAACAAATATGGGATTGCATTTCTCAAGATGAAAGCAATCACAAGGTCTGCACGAAGTAAACTTATTTAGTTTCCTAGTAATGGTCTTACCGTTTGTTCTTTGATAGCATTGTTGATCCCAGCTTGCACCATTAAGGCATTCACATTCCTCTGCAAGTCCTGGAGGCGGTTTCCCATTTCTTCCAGTTCCACATTAAGGAGCCCAGAGCCCATGGCCAGAAAGCCCTGCTTCAACCCTGCAGCCCAGCTGGGGGTCTGACACATACCCTGGCCGGGCAACTTGTAAGACATCTGGGGGTCAGTGCAGAGACTTCCCTGAGGTTTGTGTAGGATGACTCTAGCCTCTGAATATGAGCTCGGCTCTGAAACTTGGCTCCCCTGCGAGGACACAAACTCAGGGATGTGTGTTACTCTGGTATGTTTATGTCTTAACTCTAATGAGGATGTAAACATAATGGACATTAACTCAGTTTAACTTTATCATGTCTCTAAGAATCATTTTTCCCATCTGTGGGAACCCAGCTACAGAATCAGAAATTGCAAGTTCCATATGCAAATACTTTGCACAGTTTTTAAGGAGCTCAAGTAGGGCAGATGTTACCCTTGTCTGAATTTGCTCCAACTGGAAACAAACATTCTATTCTAATTGTGTTTGAATTCATGTCTTAACAAAACAGTGAGCTGTTCAAGTTATAAAACCAAACCAAACCAGTAGGGGAGCCAGGTGTAACGCCCTATGTTGGAGGCCTTCTGTGTTCTGTCTGCCGGTTTCTGAGTGCGTAGAGTATGACATTACCTAGCAGACCGCCGATTTTTATAGGGCTTGGCCCGCTGGAGAGTCATGTGCAGTGTGTCCACGTATTTTATTGCCACACAAAATGCCCTGTTCTGCCGGTCAAGCAGGAAGAAATTACCTGCCTGGTAATTACATCAGGATGCAAGGAAATCCGAGGTCAACAAATCTCCACTAAAAAGAGATTCCATGGTAATTTAACAGTTCAAAGCATCTTAGTATTTGCTATAAGTTGGAAAAGGATATTTCTGAGGTTTAATGTTGCAGTCAGAGCTTGAAAATGTTCTTGAAGTTCCTGAAATAGATTTTCTGCCTGAAAAAATAAACCATAGGACAACTGAATATATATAACATTTACTCTTGATATGGGGCATTTTAAGCATCATGGACTAGGATTGTCCACATATATAGTTGATTTTTGACAAGGAAAGTCTTTTCAACTAGTAGTGAGGGACATTGAGGAACAGGTACATAAATGACTAAGCAGGCCAGCCCCTACCTCACACCACACACAGAAACTCACCCAACAGGATTCTACACCTACACGTGAGCACCAGGACTACAATGTCCGGAAGACAACAGGCAACGCCTTAGTCACCCTGGGCTCCTCAGAGCCTTCTCACAGGAGCGGACAGCCTGGACACAGGCGGCCTCTGCCCCCTTACTAGGGGTTATTAGCTGGGATCAGCATGGCAGGAATGTCTCACAGAAATGCCACCACTGCCGGGAAGGCAGGCCACCTTTATGTGTTGCTTCATACTTTGCAAATGAAACCTCAAGGATTATCTCCACAGAGTAGGGAACCTGCAATCTAGAACCTGCATTTCTGTGTGAAGACTGCTGCCAGCTGCCAGCAGCTGTTTCCTTCCTTGAGAGGGTTTTGCCTTCCTGGGGAAAAAGGTTTAAGTACCAACATCTGACAAATTCTTTTTAACAAGATGTAGGCATCAGCCTTTAATCAGTGGTTCTCAACCTTCTGGCCCTTTAAATAGAGTTCCTCATGTTGTGACCCAACCATAAAATTATTTTCGTTGCTACTTCATAACTGTAGTGTTGCTACTGTTATGAATCGTAATGTAAATATCTGATATGCAGGATGGTCTTAGGCGACCCCTGTGAAAGGGTCGTTCGACCGCCAAAGGGGTCTCGACCCACAGGTTGAGAACCGCTGCTTAAATGGTGCTTCCTGGTCTCTGCCAGCAGGAGTGTGGGTGGGGGCACTGCCGGGCAGCGGGCGGGTGGTTCTCTGGCTGCCCCCTACAGCAGGGCACCCGCACGTCCCCACCCCCATCCCTGGCCCGGGAAGGGGTGAAGCACCTAGAGGGCCAGTAGGGAGGTGAGGGGGGCGGGGTCCCCACTCACCAGTTCCTGCAGCGCGCCCCCTGGGTCTTCGTGTCCCTGCGCCTCCATGTGGACTCGGGTGGGCCAGCGGTCCAGGGGGTTCAGGTGGCTCTGGTGGCTCAGCGCCGCCGTGGTCCTATCTGGTACCCGCAGCGGTGGCTCTGGCAGG